ACAACCCAATGGGGACAAGGGGATGTGACACAGCCCAATGGGGACAAGGGGATGTGGCACAGCCCAATGGGGACAAGGGGACATGGCACAGCCCAATGGGGACAAGGGGATGTGGTACAACCCAATGGGGACAAGGGGATGTGACACAGCCCAATGGGGACAAGGGAACGTGGCACAGCCCAATGGGGACAAGGGGATGTGGCACAACCCAATGGGGACAAGGGGATGTGGCACAGCCCAATGGGGACAAGGGGATGTGGCACAGCCCAGTGGGGACAAGGGGATGTGGCACAACCCAATGGGGACAAGGGGACATGGCACAGCCCAGTGGGGACAAGGGGATGTGGCACAACCCAATGGGGACAAGGGGATGTGACACAGCCCAATGGGGACAAGGGGACGTGGCACTGCCCAACGGGGACAAGGGGACGTGGCACAGCCCAGTGGGGACAAGGGGATGTGACACAGCCCAATGGGGACAAGGGGACGTGGCACAGCCCAATGGGGACAAGGGGAATGTGACGTAACCCAGTGGGGATGTGACATAACCCAATGGGGACCAGGGGACATGACAAAACCCCACAGGGATGCCAAACAACTCAAAGGAGACAAGGGGACATGACACAACCCAATGGGGACACAGCACAACCCAATGGGGACAAGGGGACATGACAAAACCCCATGGCGATGCCACACAATTCAATGGTGACAAGGGGACATGGCACAATGCAATGGGGACGCAACACAACCCAGTGGGGACGCAACACAACCCAACGAGGACAAGGCGACACGACACGACCCAACGGAGACAGGGGACATGGCACAACCCAACGGGGACAAGGGGACATGGCACAACCCAGTAGGGATGCAACACAACCCAATGGGGATAAGGGGACATGACACAACCCAATGGGGACAAAGGGACATGATACAACCCAATAGGGACAAGAGGACATGACACATGGGGACACGACACAACCCAATGGGGACCAGGGGACATGACAAAACCCCACGGGGATGACACACAACTCAATGGGGACAAGGATACATGACACAACCCAATGGGGACAAGGGGATATGACACAATCCAATGGGAACAAAGGGACATGACAGAACCCAATGGGGATGCAACACATCCCAATGGAGACAGGGGACACGGCACAACCCAATGAGGGCACGACACAACCGAATGGGAACAAGGGGATGTGACACAACTCAATGGGGACAAGGGGACACGACACGAGGGGTGCCACCAGCCCAGCATCACCTTCTGCCATCTTCTGGAGGTCCTTGAAGATGCGTAGGTGGTGGGCCAGGTCGGTGGCCAGGATGATGTCCCGCATGAGGTCCAGCATGCGCTGGTAGTCCTGCAGGGACACAGGATGGGATATGGGGGGCGAGGTGGGATGTGGGGTGGCTTTTTTTGGGGGGGGAAACACCACCACATAAGCATCAGAAAGGACCGCCAGAAGATGGCAGAAGG